AGTCCCTTTTTCATAGCACAAAAAAGAAGAATAGGAACGGGAAAAAAAACATAAGAAATCAAAAACGAAAAATAGATTTCTCTTTCGTTTTTTATTTCTTATATCCATATCCATATTCATGGAGATCAAATCATAATTAAGAAACGAATATTTAATTCTTTTTCGTAATTCAAAATCATGAGGGCTATTGAGAATTATAAAAGAGTGTTTTATTGAAGAATTCAGTTATTACTCAACAAATTTTTATTTTTTAGGGAGGCATATATATATTGAGGTTCCACAAGCGATACTTCCCGATACAGTATTTGAAGCAGTTGTTCGAATTCATTATGATATGAAAGTGAAACAAGTTCTTGCTAATGGTAAAAAGGGGGCTTTGAATGTAGGAGTTGTTCTAATTTTACAAGAGGGTTTTGAATTGGCCCCTTCTGATTGTCATTCACCCGAGATTAAAGAAAAGATAGGTAATTTGTCTTTTCAAAGCTATCATCCCATAAATGTAAAGGTTGTGAATAGATTGCTCTTCCTACACGGAAAAGGTAACTTACTTTGTTGAGATCGGTGGAACTGTTGGTTGATTTTCCATCACCTTTGTATGAGATGATGTTTGCGACTATTGGGTCGTCGAAGTTTGTTATGTTGAAGAAAAGTGAGTTTGTTTTTGGAAGTGTAAAGAAGAGTAGTGAAAGAATAAGAATGATGTATTTGGGGAGATTAATGATGGTTTTTTGTTTTTTACAACAATTGAAGAAAAAGAAGGCAAAATACTATTTTTAGTATTGTATGTTAATGTCAAGGTTTATTTTAATCCATTTACTTAAAAAATGTTTATACTGGTCTCTTAAGTCATCAAAACACTTCATTTTAATCCTTTTTGTCTAATTGCAGTGGCACTAGGACTGTTCAAAATTCTAGTCAAACCAAGTCGGGCTACTGAGAACATATTTGAAGAGTTTACAGACAATTCACAAACCAGAATCAAACTGCAAATAATCAAACTGAACAAGAAGAATCAAACTGGCCATACTCATTAATCTCTAGTTCTGTTTCATGCCTCAATCATTACCTAAAGTACACATAAAATAAAGTGTGCATTAAGTCAACTACAATGATCCAAGAAATAGTGAACATTGTAATTTACATTCAAAATATATAGCTTTAACAAAAATCATTAGAGTTTGTGCATATTATATACACCTATCTCCCCTGGACATAGATGCATTTTCTAGTTTGCATCTAAAGATGTTGTATCTTGTAAAAGGTGGAAACAGACAGACAAAAAAGGTTTCCTACATCAGCATATCTTGTTTTCACTAGTTTGGGCTATCCACTATTTTGGTGTCAAATATTCTAAAGTTTCTACTTCCCCATACATCAGTTTTGATGAAATAGTATGATTTAATACAAACACTCACCCATGGTGGATTTCTTGGGCTATCGTTTACCACAATACTACCATCACATTCAGTTACTCCAAGTAATCTGTTCAATTTTCTTTTCACATGCAAACTGCCAGGATAACCATAAAAAAGAGTCTCCTGTCATGCATATAAAATCAGAAAAAGATCATCCACACAGGCAAATTAATAGATAAATAATAAATCATTAGAAAAATATTAATGCCAAATATTCTAAATGTGATGAAGTTAAAATTTATTCTGACCCCATCTTCATCAACTACAAAAGCACAGATTCTAGTTGTTGGATCCTCTAGGGTCAGTCTCATCCTATACTTCCCAGCAGGCATGCAGAACTTTTCAGCTTGGTATGGTGTTGTTGCTACCACTCGAACAACACACTTAAACTTAGTTGTCAGCTTGATAGTAGATGCATCAGATGGACGTAAAGTGATTGATATTATACCGCCAGGACCATAACTTCTTCTTTGAGAGGGTGGATCTATCAAACTTGATCAACCATTAACGAGTAATTCTAATGTGGATGGATTTGGTCAGGGGGATGCAGAAATAGTGCTTCAAGATCCATTACGTGTCTAAGGTCTCTTGCTCTTCTTGGCATCTATTATTTTGGCATAAATATTTTTGGTTCTTAAAAAGAAACAATTTGAGAAGGTGCAATTATCTGAAATGAATTTTTAGGAATGTCAATTTATCAATATATTAAGTTGGTAAAAAGAACTCCATTTTTGTTGATAAATTTTGTGTAAAGATCTTTGGTTCTTGGTTTTTTTCAACTGCACAATTAATTTGAACCATATGATTATGTCACTGATTATGTCGTTGTTTTCATATTTTCATGTCCTAGAATAGAAATATTAGAATTTATATTGTAATAGAATTAAATTCGACTCGATACTAAACCTAAAAAAATAGGTAGGTAGATAATATTAAGTAAAGTAGAAAAAGGGAAAACAGGATTCTAGGATGGATAATTTGTCTTTTCCTAGAGTCCAATTTCTTCTTGTTTATGTCGAAATCGATACGTAGTGAAAGAATGGACTAGCAACTCCCATTATATGGGGTTCAATGTCCAATTATGAAACCCTTAGAAAAAGAGAATGAATCTAAATATAGTTGCTGAATCGAAATAAGGCTACGATAAGAGGAGTGTAGTCATGCATATCAAGTGGAAGTTCAGCTAATGCCATTTCATTTGGAAGAACCTTAATCACTTCATAAGCCTTAGGTCTTTCTTTATCATTTGAATGAGTACACCATAACCCTACAATAAGCAAGCCCTTTATTTCACTAACATCAAATTCCATGTCCAATCTTTCATCAAAAGCACTCATAAGATTCCCTTCAACATAAAGTCTCCAAACCCAATTCATCAAAGGCACATGAAACTCACCATCTTGAAAAATTCTTCTCCCACTTGCTAACTCCAAAGCAACAATTCCAAAACTATACATATCAGATTCTTTACTAGCCCTTCCTTCATTGTGTCCTCGCCATCCTGAAATCGTCGAGCTTTGTGCTGAAATCAGTGTCCAATAACACATTAGCTTATTTGATATCCCTATGAAAAAACACATTGCTCGGCGTTGTCGTGGAGATAATGAAGCGCATTCGCAACACCTAATGCAATTTTGTACCTTACTTCCCACGCCAAACTTTTCTTGTCACCAAATAAATGTGTGTCCAGGCTTTCGTTAGGCATGTACTCAAAAACTAAGAGAAACTCGCCTTGTTCATGACACCAACTGATGAATTGAACCAAGTTTCTATGTATCAAACGGCGTATAATCCTAACCTCATTGATGAAAACTCTTTCAGAATTCTCGAAATCGGCGAAAATCCTCTTCACAACTACAACTCTTCCTAAATAACTCAAAGCACTTTTGTAAACTTGTCAGTACCCTCCTCTTCCAAGCGTTCTGTCATCGGCAAAACCATTAGTAGCTGCAACTAATTCGCTATATTCGAATCTTCTCGGTATTGTTGCTTTATCTAAATCAAATTTCTCTGAATCAGGTACTCCATATTCATCATGCCCTTCATCAACATTCTTCCTTTTCCTCTTCACTATCAACCAACCAACAACATTAGCTATCGAAAAAACCAAAATAACCGGAACAATGACAGCAAAAACTATCACAACCGTTTTCAACGACCATTTTCTTCCATTTCCCTCCAACAGAACATCTCTTGACGAATCTGACTTCAAATTTGAACTAAACTCCCAAGAATGAATAACATTACTTTCTGTCGAAAGACCTGTCAAAGCCGAAAATCTGATACTCACATACTCAGACAGTTTCTGCACAAGATCAATCTGATAAGACAGTGAAGAATTTTCATTTCCATTTCCAACACCTTTAACATTCCTTCCATGAAAAGACCAAAACACTTCCAATATTTTCTTATCAGAACCATAATTAATCAAAACATAACAAATATTCCCAAGATTATCGTCAATATCAAATTTCCCAAAAGTAACAGAAGTTAAAGAATTATCATCAATATCAACATGTCTCATCGGTGGATCCGTAGCCCCAACAAAAGTATCAAACTCAACAGCAACAACATAGTTCATAAGAGCATTACTATTAGTAGTAGCACTAAAAAGACCAAAAACACCACCAGCTGAATTAGGTGGAATCTGATAACCCGTGGAGCTATATAAAACACAAAACCTTCACCATAGGACGTATCATTGACTTTATCAATAGTGGAAGTGAAACTTGTAGTGAAATCAGTAAGCGTTTTAGTGTTTTTGTCCCATAAATGTAAAGGTTGTGAGTAGATTACTCTTCCTACACGGAAAAGGTAACTTACTTTGTTGAGATCGGTGGAAGTGTTGGTTGATTTTCCATCACCTTTGTATGAGATGATGTTTGTGACTGGGTCGTCGAAGTTTGTTATGTTGAAGAAAAGTGAGTTTGTTTTTGGAAGTGTAAAGAAGAGTAGTGAAAGAATAAGAATGATGTATTTGGGGAGATTAATGATGGTTTTTTGTTTTTGACAAAAATTGAAGAAAAAGAAGGCAAAATACTATTTTTAATCTTGTATGTTACCGTCAAGGTTTATTTTGATCCATTTACTTAAAAAATGTTTATATTGGTCCCTTAACTCTTCAAAACACTTCATTTTAATCATTTTTGTCTAATTGCAGTGGCACTAGGACTGTTCAAAATTCTAGTCAAACCAAGCCGGGCTGCTGAGAACATATTTTAAGAGTTTACAGACAGTTCACAAACCAGAATCAAACTGCAAATAATCAAACTGAACAGGAAGAATCAAATTGGCCATACTCATTAATCTCTAGTTCAGTTTCATGTCTCAATCATTACCTAAAGTACACATAAAATAAATTATGCATTAAGTCAACTACAATGATCCAAGAAATAGTGAACATTGTAATTTACATTCAAAATATACAGCTTTGACAAAAAGCATTAGAGTTTGTGCATATTATATACACCTATCTCCCCTGGACACAGATGCATGTTCTAGTTTGCATCTAATGATGCTGTATCTTGCAAAAGGTGGAAACAGACAGACAAAAAAGGATTCCTACATCAGCATATCTTGTTTTCACTAGTTTGGGCTATCCACTATTTTGGTGTCAAATATTCTAAAGTTTCTACTTCCCCATACATCAGTTTTGATGACATAGTATGATTTAATACAAACACTCACCCATGGTGGATTTCTTGGCCTATCATTTACCACAATACTATCACATTCAGTTACTCCAAGTAATCTGTTCAATTTTCTTTTCACATACAAACTGCCAGGATAACCATCAAAAAGAGTCTCCTGTCATGCATATAAAATCAGAAAAAGATCAGCCACACAGACAAATTAACAGATAAATAATAAATCATTAGAAAAATATTAATGCCAAATATCCTAAATGTGATGAAGTTAAAATTTATTCTGACCCCATCTTCATCAACTACAAAAGCATGGATTCTAGCTGTTGGATCCTCTAGGGTCAGTCTCATCCTATACTTCCCAGCAGGCGTGCAGAACTTTTCAGCTTGGTATGGTGTTGCTGCTACCACTCGAACAACACACTTAAACTTAGCTGTCACCTTCAATAAATGAAATAAATTAATAAGCAAAAAAGAAACAATGTTTTAAGAAGGCAAAATAATGTTTTGAGAAGAATACGCAGTCTAGTACCTCTGAATGAGTGAGTACGTCCATTAAAGTAAGATGCCGCACACGATCGTGATTAACCTCTGTAAGGGTCAAACATAGTTGGGTATCCCATAAGGAAATAAAAATTCCATCCATTATAAAAGAGCCTAGTAAAAGTGTAACAAATGAATTATTACCTGTAATACGTAAAGACTCGGGTAAGTTGTCAATGGACTGAGGTATGCTGCCAATAGGCATGTTTCCTGATTTCAACAATATGCGGTCATCATACAACCTGGCTCAACACAGACATAATGAATATATAATAGTTAGCTGACCCAATCTATCCAAACCACATATTATGACTACTGATTTGGTAACCACCTTTGGCGTTCTGTAATGAGATGGTTTTCATTTGGTGTATGTCGCAGCTTTGAATGTGAGGTAAAAACACCATACCACAGTCCTGCATACACTTTGAGACGTATGTTGATAAACTGGACCCATTTTCCACTTTTAAAAACATTGAGATGATTTTTCTCTATGGGTAGTTCAAAAGCAACCCTCAAGATGGAGCCAACAGTGGGCAGAGTACATAGTACATCTCTTGGCAAAGGCACGGATTCCAATTGTAATGGAAGTGGATGATTAATTTCATCTTCCAGCCTGCATTTCATCAGCAAGCATATCAAATTCCTTTGGAGGAGATGCTAACATAGATTTATATGCTCTTCAGAAACACTGCACCAAGTAGGGTCAAAACTTATTAAGTGAAAAAAGAAACACTCCAATCTCAAGATGAATGGTTATAGATGATGCCCTTGCAATCATATCTATAAAACTCATAGCAGTTAGCAGGTTTTTCAACAGAATCCTGTACAAAATCCATGGCCATATCAGCACAAATTCATCTTCTGAACCGTTAGCAAATTTTCTATTTCTTTTCAAATCTAATTCCGGAGGTAAGAGAACACCTTTAATCTCAATTAAATCCTTATGTCAAGTAACTAGCATTTGAAAAGTATACAATTTTACCAAACCATGTACTTCATGCATTCAGGGGGAGGGGAGTTGAACTACAATATAAAAGTAATTTTACATCAACTCACATTGAAGTTATGGCATTTGGTGGGGTATCGGTACCGTCCCAAACATAGACAGACCAATTATCTTTCAAAGGCTCCCAGCAATGAAGTATCTTAAGGTGCAACAAAAGCATGAAGGATCAGAACCTTGGAAAGGTGACAACTAAAAGTAAAAAATTACAATTTACATATTTTACTTAAATAGCTATCCAAAGGTCTTAAAACTCATAATACAAATATCAAAACCAACTCCAACTGAATTACCTTGCCGGCCAAATTAAAGTGACCTTCTTTGATTTCTCTTAGCATTGGAAAATCACTTGAATCTACACAACACAACATTTAAGAACTTGAATGTACATAAAAAAAATATGATGAAGCCACCAATAAATAAATAAATAAATAAATAATACAAACCACCTTAAGCTAAAACTCATCAAACATATATTGATTTCTTTATAGGTAAGGTAATTCTTGGTTGAGCTACACAAATTCAAAATCTTAAGGAGACAAAAAAGTTCAAGCTAGTTTTTAGAAAACACCTACTAACACCGGCTAGAAGCAACCAAGGTTTAAATTCCATTGCATGATAAGTGTTATAAATTCCCCCTGATTCCTACTTCTGACCAAACACAGTAAGTTGGTACTAGGTAGGAGGGGGAAAGTGATCATCTCCTATACATAAAAGGGTTACAGTTAGAAGAGTTGGTTAGGCAGAAATTGATTTCTTGTCAAGAGAAAAAAGGTGACTCTCAAACTCATCATCTGTAGTGTATTCATTTCTGGTTGCCTTGATAAGAGAAGTAATTATAATACAGATTTTGGAAAACAGAACAGAAATTAAAGAAAATGAATTCATGTTACATTAAAAGCTAAAATCCTATAATACCTGCAGGAATCTGAAAATTGACCAACCATTTTCTAAGACTGCTTATGCGGATTTTGTCTTCATGTCTGATGAAAACTTTTGAATAACCTTGATAAGGGACAAAATCATCATCATTCCCTCTGTATAAGGCAAAAGAGGAAGTGTTTTTGTAGAAAACAGCATTTACTTCCGGAATATGTGTCCTTAACTGCGCAAGACGGGGAACAGCATTTACTTCCTGAATATGAGTCCTTAACTGCAAAAGACGGTTTACAGGTTTTGAATGAGAGAAAGGGATAAAAATTTACTTTAAAAAAAGCTAAATCATGCCGCACTAAGCAAGTGAACATAAAGCATTAAATTGATTTCAACATGTGTTTTCAGTAATTTATTGAAATGTTAGTTCAACACAAAGAGCTGTACCGTAACATTAGAAAGCTGAATTATATCTCCGGCAGCAGCAACATAGGGAAGGCTTTCAGCATTTTCAATAAAAAAATTAACAGACATACCGGTCTGGTGATGTGTTTCATCGATCAATCTTAGGGTACAGCAACAATCTGCAAAAACAGCATCAAATCAAAAAACATATAATTTGACTAAATCAAAGTATTCAATACAAATCATAAAGAAATGAAATGGAACATTTGAATGATGAGTGAAACTGGCTCAGAAAACACCTTCAGAAAGCATTAATCAATCTACTACCATAGAAGTAGTAAGACCGGCCTTTATATCATCATTGCAAGTGAAAATTGAAAATGATGAAAATTACCGGTGCCTTTAGTTGTCTTGGGGAGACCAAACTCAAGAACAACGGCTATAATGTTAGCTCTCTGGTTGATACAAGAATGAGCATCTTGTAATTGGAGTAACTTGTAATCATTCATATTGCTATTCCTTAACCGACCTGACATCTCTCGCTCCCTCTTCCCGTTATTAGGGTTAGGGTTTCGCAGAGTAAGCCTCTTTAAATTTCAACTTCAACCAACACAGTACTCCTATGTACTAGTCACCAGTGTTAGGTCATAACACTTTTATTTTATTTTTAAATTTTAAATATGTGAGTACTGGATTTTGCACATTGCTTCTTTTTTTTAATTTGCATATTCCTAATATGAAATAAAAAGATCTCTATAAAATGATTTTTATAATTTATTTTAGATTTTATTTTAATTAACTTAAATTTTTTTTTTAGGTTTTATTTAAAATATTTAGTTAACTCCTCTTTTTATTAAAACTAATTAGTTTAGTTAGGTTAATTACCAAATCTTTTTCTATCAAAAAAATCCTCAAAATAATTCTTTTTTCTTTTCCCTCTACTTCATATTTTTGCGCATTTTATTATTTCACATTCATTTATATAATTGGTCTGTAATAGATAATTAGAGTTTTATTTGCTTTTCATCCCCGTTTGTAAATTTATACCCCTATTCCCAAAGCATTGTAATAGCGTAGGACATTTAAATTCCGCAATTTATCGTTTTCCTTATTATTGTTAGTAATTAGGGTTTGTATGGCAAGATTTAAAATCAAACATTAGACAACCATAAATCCAAGATAAAATAATTGAATCAAACACACCTTGCACACTTACACTTCTAGGGTTAACCTCGCTTGTTGCTTTCGGATAAAGCAGTCATGTCCCTCGAAATATGAGATGCTTTAACAAAAGACCCTCGATTAAAAGATCGTAGTCTCTCGATGACCCTTCGATATTGCCTTCGGTAAACGATCTTAGTGCCTTACGACAATTGCTAAAGTATCTTACAAGTTGCTTTCTATGACTATACGATGACCCATGTCTGTCTCTCACGTCCAATAATAGGGATTCCTACTAACTAATGGTAGGTGTTGTACCCCAAAATTTGCCCTCTCATTTCTCAAGATATTTCCTACAAAGATCTTCAATGACTCAAGTTTGCGCAAGTATCGACTAGGTCAAGCAATCTCCTCAACACTGATGCCTCAAATTAGGGTTTGAGTTTGCACAAAGACAGTTGGACTTCTAATATTTCCAATGACTTTCATGGACCCTCAGGATTGCTCCTGTCAAGTTTCAAGTCTTGGATCACAAAATCGCTCAGTCAATTGATCAGATGGCCTAAAATCAATTGTATTAGAGAAAAGTCAATTATGGTCAACCTACAGTCAAACTTCAAGATTTTGGACCAATATCAACATTTTGAAGTCCTATGTATCATTTGATCAAGATCAGATCATAATTCTCCAAGAAAATTGTTCAAATCATCAAAAGGGAAAAATGGTTAAAATTAGAGTTTTGGTTGAGAATGACCAATCTTTGACTTTTGATTTGGTACATGACTTATTGGTTTGAAACATGATCTCAAGGATCCAAGTGCATCATTTTGACCTATTCTCATATTCCAATTCATCTCCCGAGATCAGTGGATTGATAAATGAAATTCGGTCAACTGATGGAAAAAAAGTCAATTGCATACTGAAAAGTCAAACTTTTACTTTTTTGTCAAATTTGAGTTTCAAAGATCACATTTCATCAAGACACTCAAAATATGGAATTTGATCATCAAAAATCAAGAAAGTTAAAAGTCATTTTGGAAAGACAAACTTTGCAAGACTTAGAATTTTTTCTAAGTGTTTGTATACTTGTTAATTTCATTGCTTCATGACATCTTTTCACTATAATTCAAATAATTCAAGATGTTACAAATAATTCAAGTTATTACAAGGTTGCATTTTTTTGAATTACAAATCCTAAAGCTTTGTCTTGTTTGAATTTTTTTCCTTTGATTCAATCTCCAAAACCTTGCCACTATGTTGTCCACAAAACCAGAATTTTATCATGCTACAAATATTGTTATCAATAAAAGCCCCAAAATATGATATGCTGTCAAGTTCAAGCCTGTTGCTACAAGCCCAAAACTATGTCAAAAATAGTTTGTTGTCCTGCTATAAAACAACCATGCACCAAGCTGTCACTCCACTCCAAAAATACTACAAAATAGTCTTGATATGCTGCCTCTAACCTTGTCCAAACATGCATTATATCAGTCTCATGTTTGCACCAAATTAGCACATAAGAGCTGCATCTAAAAGGAAATAAAATAGTATACTCAAATAGTTCAAAAAACTTATTTGTTTCCCTCCCAAATCTCAGCCAATTTGATTTACAAATAAACTATTTTCACAACACACAAAGGGTTGGCTTTTTGAGAGAAAAAAGAGAACAGAAAAACAGCATTCTTTGTAAACTCTGCTCACTCATAAAAAATCTATGCTCGTACGCATCTCTATCTTCATTCACAAAAACAGAACCTCAACCCATTATCCCACCTTGCAAGCTCTCCCATAAACTAGTTATCCAAACACTTCATATCACATAGAGATTGTTCAAACACAAGAACAGTTTTTGTAGTGCCATTATCATCACCTTTCAAACACAAACAAAAGGCAATATTTTACAACTTTACTATATTGGAGTTGGTTCAGCAACTTTCAATACAAAGGAAGGTTCAGCAGCTTTTTGGAGGTTCACAGAAGCCCTCACAGCATCTTGAAAGGTATTCAGACTCAAGACATAAATTACAGTCTCAAGGTAAGTTTTCTTGACTTTAAACCCTTCATTTCAAGCATCATTAATGATTCATTTTTGAAGATAAAATGTAGTAACCATTTCCCTTGAAGCTAACCATTTGTTTGTCTTTCATTTGTCAATTTAATGTTGAGAACTGACTTGTACAGACAATAGAACAATGTTAGAACTAAAAAACGGCAGCATGAGTTGACACATACTCACATGAGTCGACTCATTTTAGTGACAGAACAGGGAATGAGTTGACACAAGGCCTTATGTGTCGATACATATTGCTATCCTGACCCAAAACAGAAGGACAAAAGGTGCATGAGTCGACACAAAATACGAATGTGTCGACACAAGCAAGAAATGAGTCGACGCGTACCATTATGTATCGACTCATACTAAGTTGATTTTGGTTTTACAGGAACAAGAAGGGTTATGTGTCGATGCATAGATACATGTGTCAACACATAATGGTTAGAAATTATTTTTTTTCCTTTCTTTTTACACTGTTTTTATATTTTCTTCATTGCTATTCAATATGGTTGTAATATTTAGGCTTCTACTTCATCCTAATTTGTAAATTGTACCCCCATCCCCCTAATGATATAATAGCATAGGATTTTAATTTCCACAAATTTATCGTTTTCATATAATTGTTAGTAATTAGGGTGTGTATGGCAAGATAAAATCAACCGTTAGAAAACCCTATTCTCAAAGACAAAAATGCATGCAATCAAAACACGATTCACACACAAGCACCTCTAGGGTAACCTTGCTTGTTACCTCAGAAAATAGTCATAACCCTCGAATATGGGCACTTTATCAAAGACCCTCTGTGATCGGTGGAAATAGAACTGACTGTTTTTTAAGCTGGTTCACGAAATGTCGCGGTAAGCAAGAGTCGCCACCGTCTTTTATTTTCTCCAACATGGAAAGGACAAAAGCACAACAAAATTCCTTATGAGATTGTTTCTCGGTTCGGGAGGTAGATTTATAGAAAGGGAAGGTGTTAGCACCCTTTCTATCTGTGGTTATCCACGGGCTCTTAGGTACTTGCTCTTATGTTTTCAAAATGTTTGCTTTTCAAAATGTGAGTGGGTTTGAAAAAGTTTCATTAAAAGATTTCTGAGTGACTCTTGTATCTGTCCTCAAGAGTGTTTGAAAAATTTGTTTTGAAAGCTTTTGAAAGTGTCAGTGTGAAAAGATTTTTGTTTGTTTTTGAAGAGAGCAAGTACCCATGAGTCATCTACCTACCCTAAGGAATTAGGCTGTGTAAAAGTCCTTAAGGTAGTGTCATCCCACCATTGAGAGGTAGGTAGCACCACCGTTGGAGGTGTTCGGGTCAATTCGATTGAGGGACAGTGTGGTCACCGAAGCAATAGTAGGACACCTTAGAAGTAACCCTAATGTCCTAGATCCTTTTTAATCTGAGGCAACCGTTTTGAGGCGACTGAATCTTAGACATAAGAGCGACCGCTAAAACATCCTATACTTGACGACCACGTTCGAGGCAACCAGTGAGGCGTACCCTATGAGTGGCATGTGCACGTGTGTTATTTTAGTTTATGTTTATCTTGTACATGTATCATGGTGATATACGAGTTGTTTTTAATTTTCATCCAAGTCTTGTATGCATATTAAGAGTTAAGAGTGCAGAAAATAAAGTGCGGAAAGGTAAATCTACGCTATTACAAGGCGCGGGTCTATACATCACCAAAAACATAACCCGTTTTGGAAAATAAATGCGGAAAATTAAAGAAAGCGATAAAGCCTAATTAACTATTACATCCTTGGAAACATATACATAAATATGATTAAAATAAATTAAAGTGCGCGTAAAGAAATTAAATCGGACGTCCTTAGGGTTTTGACCCTTTTTTGAAAGAAAGTGATTTTTTTGGTTATTTTTGAATTAAATGGAATTAAATTAAATGAACAATTAAATTAAATTAAATAATGAAAATATTTTTTAGATTTTTGAGTTTTTAAAGAAATAAAATAAATTGAATTAATGCTAATAAAAACCTAATATTCTAAATTGATTTTAAATATTGCAAAAAATATTAAAAGTTAAATCTAATTAAAGCTAAATTGATTAAATTAATTTATTTACAAAAATAAAAGTGATAAAGTTAATTTTAATAAATAAAATATTTTTTTGTGTTTTTGATTTTATTAGGAAAAAATGTTAATTGGTTAGTGATTAATAAAAATAATAACGATTAATTAATTAAAGGAACAAAATACAAATAGAGAGAGAGTTTAGGAGTATACGAGCCTGATTGGAGGGGTGAAACAGCTATTGGCGTCATGTGTAAACTGCTTTGTTTCGGCCATTTGGCTTTTGGCCATTTG